ATAAGCTATACTTTAGTTTAAGGAATTCGGTATAAGGGAGCTTTTGTGCCTGAGGATACTGAGAGAGAGGTCAAAGTAGAGTGAAAAGGTTACATATGGGCCTGAATTTAGAGCTTTTTACTTTGAGTTTTGTGCTTAATGTCTTGGAAAAAAATCACACTGGATCTTATGTAGGAACAGAGTGTCAAACAGAAGTTTATAAGGCAGATTTCAGCTGGAAGTAACAAAATTTCAGTTGGGCTGTATAGTAAGGATTTACAAGAAGACCATAGTTAAGTACATTATCTACATGAGAGGTGTACAAATAAATGAAAAAGTTTACACTTAAGTAATGCGAAGCCTACCTTTTAGAAAATGTATGATAAGCTAAATAAGCCAATAACAACTTAGGATAAGGGTAACAATGTTCATAAGCAATAGAAGTTCTATTTCAAGGGATACCTACTAAAGTCAGTGAATTACAGTGTTTACTATAGAGTCAATTTCTAAGCATCAATCATTATTATATGCCTTAAAGATTTTAACTGTGTCTGCCTCTGTCATGCACTACATATCTTTTCTTTAAGTTACATTTTTTGTTTGTTTGTTTTTTTGTCTTTTTGCTTTTTATCGGTACCAGGGATCGAACTCACGACTGCCTGCTTGCAAGGCAGGTGCTTATGCCGCTGAGCTAAATCCCCAGCCCCCTACATATCTTTTCTTAATATGTATTTTTCTTTTTGAAGTAAATTGATTTGAATAAGAAACTTTCTGACCACAGTTTATGGAAAACAAATTAGCAGTTACTATAAATAGTGGGTAACCATAAAAATAGTAACTGCTGTAGTTTGAAAAAAAGTATGGATTGAGATATAGCTCAGTAGTAGTAATACGTGCTTAGCTTGTATGAGGCCATGTGATGGATACTTTTGCAACTCCATTTGAATATATCTGCATTCACATTTTGCTATGAAATCCTGAGATAAATTATTCTGGATGCTGGCTCATAAAGGAGAAGTTAAATGTTAGAATTATGTATGAAGTTTAGAAAAGTGAAGAGGAAAGATATGTTCAAGAAGAAAGTGCCTTGATAAAAGTAAAAGGAAGAAAGGTTTGAATATTGTGACTGTGACTAGCTTGTTAGCTGCAGGCCTTCCCTTGGTGATATCTCATGGTACCCAAGTGACTGGTATAATGTGACTCTATAGCACTTGGGGATTTAAATAATTCACAGTTTATAGAAAAATAATAATTCACAGTTTTGGCTATTTGATGATGACTTCAGTGATTCAGTGTGGCTTATTCACAAGCTAACATAATGATAATGGAAACTATCCTGTACATGTAATTTAATTTTTGTTAGGTCGTTTGTTAGACACTTAAATTTTAAATTTGATTTTGTTAGGTCATCTGTTAGACATTTTGTTAGGTCATTTGTTAGACATTTAAAGAAGGTATTATATATAAAATGCTTCAAATAGTGCTTCCTCATAAGTGTGATGTGTTCATTGCTATTATTGTCATGTAATTTAAAAGTGCTTTCTTTAATTAGTCAAGTTTCTTAAGATTTCCTAGTGCTTCCACTTACTAAAAACCCAAGGTAAATGTTCCACCCATAAGGACTTTTGGAAGGAATCCCCCACAGTAGAACAGATGCTTCTGAAAATACAACAGCCAGGGCTGTAGCCCTGAACCAAGATAAGCCTCTTTGCTTTTAAGTTGCTAATGTCAGACATTTTTGTTCTAGTGATGGAGAAAGTGACTAAGATAAAAGGCCAAATGCACTTTTCTCATATAATATAAAATATTTAAGTCTACCTGTGAACCCTCTCATCAATTCTGCGTATATTTCATGTTGAGTGTATTATTTTAATTTTCAGTTAATTGTTTACCCTAAATGACTTTTCATGACAGTGTAATTGTACGGATTAAATGTGTTTTGATTTGGTTTTGAATATTGTTCTTACATGAAGATTCTTATTGTAGCACTAAACCTATTTATTAGGCACTACAGTTTAATGATTGGTGAAAATAAGTTAGGCTTTTAGAGCTTTACCAATGGATGATATTTAATATTGAATGGCATGTATTAAGACAAATGCTTCTATATGTAATTACTTGGCACTGTAAATGCATTTATCTTGTTAGAAATAGACCCCCTGTTGTCAAATGAAGTATTCTCTAAAGGTTTGGAGTAAATAAATAATAAAACTACTTTGAAATACAATCTAACAGTATTAAATATTAAGACTGAAATGATCGATTTTTAACACTTAATAAGCCTATTTAAAGTCCAATGTAACCCTCTTCCATTAAAGATCGATAGTTTAGAAATAGAAGTTTATTTCTCTTGCTTTCTCATATTTTCTTTTCATTTACTCCTTTCCTTTCATATAACTGAGTTTAAACAGATCATCTTTGTTTCCAGCCATTTTGAAATTTTTAGTTGACAGTACTTCTAAAAAAAGTTTTTTGCCAGCTTTATGATATTCAATTATATTATATCTTAATTATGAAAATAGAACTCCTATGAAAGATGCTTGCTTTAATGAAAGGTGTCAGCAGTTTTCCTTTGCTAAATTACAGAATCATTTCAATAACTCAGTTTCGATCTATAGACATAATAAGAGATAGTGGGTACCTGATTATGCATAATTGTTATAGAATGGTATCATATTTCAGGTTAAATACCATCATAGTAAATGTATGCTATCTGTAACATGCTATATCTCTCCCTTTTTATCATAGGAGAAATCTTACATTAAGTAATACTATTTTGTCATTTGAGTGTTTGAATTTTTAAGCTTACCATTAGTCAAGAATTTAAATGAAAAAGTATGCTTATGTGAATTTTTCTTGATATGGGTATCTTATGAATGATGCAGTTTTGAATTCTAGTTCTGTACCTGTTAGAAACAGGGAAGCTGAAATACATAGAATATTATATTCAGAGCATATAAATTTTTTCCTGTGGGTTCATTTGTATGATGCCATTTTAAAAGAAAACATTCAACTAATCTATTTTATCAATACTAATAATTTGAAAATTTTACTTAGAGACTGCTGTTTACATAAAAATACTATTTTGAAATATTTTGAGTGTACTTTAAAAGTGTTTTCTAAAGGTTAGTGCTAAATTCTTGCCTTCATATTCATCATCATTCACACAAAACTTTCCTTTATCCAGAGTAATCATATGTATCTTAAAATTTAATGTTGTGAAAAATAGACTCGTGAAACTAATACAACTCTTGAGGATTAGCTTTGTGTTTTTTTTTTTGTTTTGTTTTGTTTTTTTGTTACTGGGTATCAAACTCAGGATTGCATACTTGCAAGGCAGGGGCTTATGCTGCTGAGCTAAATCCCTGGCCCTGAAGATTAGCTTTTGAAAAGTGGGAATTTCAACCTAGTTCATCAAGTCCTTGAGCTACCATAATAAAACTAAGGCAGAAAAGTGTCCAAATTGGGACTTAGTTCCCCAGTCTTATGTCTTGTGGGATCACAGCAGTTTCTGCCCACAGCGTAATTTCTTCCCTCCTGCCTCTTATGTAGCTTTGATGTTTACAACTTATCTCATTCCTCCTTCCCTCTCTCCAGTGATTTCACTCCCTAAGTTGTGCTGCCTGTCTGTATTTAACTTCCCCTTTTCTCTGTCTTAAAATCTATAAAACTTTCTATAACTCTATCCCCTATGTTGAGATTTTTAGAGAATGAACTCCTCTAAGCCAGGAGAGCCAAATAAAGGATTTGACTTCCTCCTCTTCTTTGGGTGCATGCTTGGTTCCTTCTGTCTATAGATATCTTATTCCGTTTTCCCCAACAAAACTAGTTCTATGAGTTTTTGAAATTTTGAGTTCAGGAGAAGCAGAAAAAATTGGTATTTATAGTGAGTATAGTAAAGGAAAGCTATTCCCTTTTACATAATACTTCCTGCAGAAAATATATTGCTATACTCTCTTAATGAAACAGAACAAGATCATTATTTGCAATAATTATTTGGATACCATTTTTTCGGAAGAAATTGAAGGACAACTAGGCATCGTTTAAGAGAAATAAAATTTATCAATTTTGGATTGAAGTAATTTACTAAGAGGAATACTTTCATCTTTATTTTTCTCTGTGTAGAAATTAGCAGATTAATGTATAAGCACAGAAATTGAAGTATAGAAAGCATAGAAATTGAAGTTTATGATGCAAATGTAAGATGTAATGGACTATTGTAAGTTTCAGAATCCACTTCTATAGTATTTAGGGTCTCAGACTGCAAAAACTACTGTAAATTTTTTCATTTGGAATTTTCATCTAATATGTTAATAATCTAGTAAGATATTTATTCATAATAGTGATTAAAATAAACAGGTGAATTTATTTACAGCCTTGATATTGTGCTTTGTAGTGGTCAAATATTTCTTAAACTGAGAATCTCTTAAGTAATTGTTCTACAATTAAAAGGAACATTTCATTGTGATTTATTTTGTATTTTAAAGAGCAAAATAACAAAAATCAAGAAGGAAACAATTAAAAAACCAACAAAGCAAAGTGGCAATAACCATGACAACAATAACAAAAATAGTGGCAATATTGGGTTTCAAAACAAGATGTTAGGAATTTGACAGTGGTTGTTACATTGTTGTTACGTTGTTAGCCCCAAAGTAATTGCTCATGTAAGATACAGACATGTAAGACTGATCAAACAATAAAATTTCCCTTTGAGCAGTTTCTTTCCCTTTTCTTGTATCTATTATAACTTTTGGATGTTATTTACTCTTTCAGTTTTTTTTACTCTAGTGAGACAATAATGTATTTACCCATGCAAATCTCATTTATTTCACTTATGAGTATGATTGCTAGCTAGATGCATCCATTTACATATACAAGCCTTGAGTTTATCATTCTTTATGGCTGAATACTATTCCATTGTATAAAAATACCACTTCTTTTTAATATGTTCCTCAGGTGATAGGCATTTGGGTTATTTCCAATGATTCAGCCATTACAAGTTGTGCTTCTGTAAACATGGGAAAAATATATAGCACTTCACAAATTTATGTGTTATCTTTGTGCAGGGGCCATGCTAATCTTCCCTGTATCATCCCAATTTTAGTATATGTGCTACCAAAGTAAGCACTATTTAATTTACGTTTTTGATATAGGGTTTCACCATGTAATCCAGACTGGTCCCATATTCACTGTGTAACCCAGGCTGGCTTCTAACTCAAAGTGATCCTACTATCTCAGCCCCCCAAATGCTGAAATTATAGGCATGCATCATTATGCCTGTCTTCACTGTGATTTTATAATCACAATGAGGTGATATACTTGAGTTTTTTTTTATATTTTAAAAAGCTAAAATAATATTGAAAATAAATACCTTAAGGTAACAATTTCTTTTTTTAAAATTTTATTTAAAGAAAGACTAAACAAAATAGAAAATGGGTAGAAATAATACATACGTTCAGAGAAAAAATAAACAGTAAGAAATCACTAGATAATGTTTACATACTGTCCTTTTACAAACAGTTGTTCAAGATACAAAAGTCGAACATATAAAGTAGGAATTCAAGCAGCGAGACTGCAAACAGTTCTGTTCAACTGTCCAACAAAAACTTAGTAACATGGTTGTCAATCCTATACACTTAAACATACATGCAGTTATCCGTATCTTCATTTATGTTGAGATTAAACAAACTAGAGCAGGCTAAATTCAGTCTGAACAAAGAATAATACTATTGCTGGGTTTTACATCATGATACTCCGGGATCAGCAATGGGTACTGTTGTGTCTTTTTTAAAAATTTTATTTAAAGAGAGACTAAACAAAACAGAAAATAGGTAGAAATAATACATACTTTTAAAGAAAAAAATAAACAGTAATAAATCACTAGTTGTGATTACAGATTGTCCTCTTACAAATAGTTCTTCAAGATACTGAAGTGAAGCATAAAAAGTGGGGATTCAAACAGTGAGACTGCAACCAGTTCTGTTCAACTATCCAACAACAACTTAGAAATATGGTTATCAATCCTCTACACTTAAACATACATGCAGTTATCCATATCTTCAATTATGTTGAGATTGAAAAAACCCAAGCAGGCTAATGTCACTCAGAACAAAGAATAACACTATTGCTGGGTTTCATATTATGACACTCCAGCATCAGCACTGGGTATGTTAGTGTCTCTTTTTCTTCAAAGTATCTATTCATTTCATCATGTGTCATAAGATCAGTTCTCATAAACTGTTTATAGATTCTACACATGCATGAGTCTTAACATGTATTTCTAGCCTTTCTATATTAGAGGGAAAAACAAAACAAAGCAAGACAAAACAAAACACATTCCTATAAACACATGAAATGAAAATGACATGTAAGACTGTTGTACAAGGAGTTCTACCATAGTTCCTGTGTTGTCTCTTGTTATCTTCAATAGAATTGGCTATATCATCAGACATAGTATATTTGAATATATCAGTACATAACAGTATTAATAAAAACTTTGTATATAGTATAAAACTTCAAAAACAAGCAGTTATCAAACCAGAATATGTATCATAGAGTCTTGTCATTTTCAGTGTAGTTGCCTATTTTCTCAGACTTGATACTATCAATCATACCAGTTTTGAATAAAATCTGTCGGTACCAAACAGCAATCAAACAAACCAGGTTTAACTAAGATCAGTCATGATAAAAACCAGGGCTCCAGATTAAGATAATAGGAAATTAAAGATGATTACTGTGCCATATCTTGATGTTTTTGGGATAGCTGTCTGTGCCCACAAATCTAATGCAAGTAGACATACTGGGACAGAATAAAATCTATCAAAAAAAAAAAAGTAAAATCTATGTAAGATTAGATGGTGCAAGTAATGTGGGTTTTAAATCTTGATACACTAGTAACAGTATCTGCCATCGTTTTTAAGACTCTCTCTCCCCTTTCACTTCCCCAGGGTACACTGTGCATTTTTGGGTCTCACCAAGACCCTTGGTTTTAAATTGTCGGTGGCAGGGGGAGTGGGCAACCTGCTATTTACCTAAGTGGTTCCAAACCTTCTCTCTCCTGGACTTGATCTCTGATTGTATTCCTTTACCTGTTAAAGCCTGTCTTTCCAACCTACCCCAAGTACTGGTTTAGTTGCCCCCGTTACTCTCTGATTCTCTGTCACATAGATCATTGTTTTCTCATATTTGATTTTCAGTCCATGTACTCTTTTTCATGTTAATTATATTTCCTATAAATTGCATCGCAGTGGACCCTGCCTCCTGATCTACTCCACATGAGGTTCTTTTTTTTTTTTTTTTTAATTTAGTGCGTCAAGGCCATCTATATTAGCTTTTATAAACAACCTACTTTGCCTCATTTCTTTTATGCTCTTTTTTTGCCGTGAGTTGTCTGCTTATCTTCTTCATTCTGTTTTCTTCTCTATTCATTGAGGCCTCTCTGCCATTGTTCCCTCCCCTGCAGATCAGTCAAGCTGCTGAGGCGGGTACTGTATTACAGTGTGTTGTCTTCCCTCCAGGGCAGTCAAACTTTTGAGGCCTTCACTGTGTTAGTGTGCCCCGCCGCCGCCACCATAGGGAATTGATTTAGGATAACCTATTGAGTCTCAGCCAGATTGCCTAGCTCACTCCACCAATCCCATTTGAGAAGGGAACAATTGACTGAAGTCACTGCTGCCCCTTGTACTTGCCAGTCCTGCATGGTCCCAGAATGTTGTCTGCTGGAGCCCCCCTTGCTATGGAATGGCTCCACTCCCATCACTCACCACAGGTCAGTGCAGGCTCCTCTCGCAACTCAGCTCTCTGTTCAGCTGGCTGATCTCCAACCTCCATTTGACTGTGCCTCCAATGAGTTGAAGCAGTGGGACCTCGGACGGCTTGGCAAGTTGCCCGCTACAGTGGGAGCACTGAACCTGTAGCTGTTCCAATAATAGCACCGGGACTGTATGTTTGATTGGTTCTTCTCACCTTAATTTCTTCTTGGGATGAGAGAATTCATCTCCCTCTGTTGGGGCTCCCCATGCTGTATTATGTTGAATTCTATGTTGACTATCTCAGGGAGACTCTGTAGCCAGCTGTTATCTATCCATCATCTTTTAACAATTTAACAAATTATTTTTGAATTAACTTGTTCTTTAAATCCATAATTAAATGAAAACTACTGATAATCATATATACATTTTCTTCAACAAATTGGTTGAAAATAACTCATTATTACTGGTCAGCATTTTTGCTTTACTTAATTATAGAATCATTTCAATGACTCAGTTTCAATCTATAGATATAATAAGAGATAGTGTTATACAGAATGATTGTATAGTGGTGTTATTTATTTTGTATTGCCATCATTGGGTATTACCATAATCAAAGTTCTGAAGAATTAAACCTTTTTGAACATTAATTTTTCTAAATAAACAAAAGATCCTATCTTTTAGCATCTTGAATGAATATGAGCAATATGAGCATTACCATATTGTAAACCATCTTATTTCATTTATATAAACTTTTGCTTTAATTGTTCTTTTCATTTTGCTTTGTTGAGATAGGTTATCAGTATGTTACCCGGACTCATCTTGAATCCTGGGCTCAAGTAGTAGATCCTCTTTCTTTTCATCCTATCAAGTAGCTGGGAATTTAGGCATGTACCAATATACCTGGAATAACATCCTTTTTAAATTAGACTCTGATATCAGCTTGGTACCAGTTGTCTATTTTTCATAAAGTTTAACATTCTAAAATATTTGTATTTGCATATTATAAGTATATGAAGCCTTTAATATTGGAAATAGTATATAAAAATAAATAATGTGGCACTGGGGATTTAGCTCAGCGGCATAAACGCCTGCCTTGCAAGTGTGTGGTCGTGAGTTTCAACCCCAGTACTACTAAAAAAGGAAAAAGACCAATATATATATATATATATAGTTATGAGGTTATGACTATCTAGGAGTTAATTTGAGATAGAAATTTTCAAAATTTTAAAATGTTTTAAGCATATAGCAAATGTATGGGGGATAGGAATGTTACTTAAAATAGTTGCTTGTGGATCAATTAAATTTTTGAAATATGATAACATTTGTTCCATACAGTGTTTGCTAATTCACATTATTTGGCAACATAAGTGAAGGAAATTTCACAGAAAATTCTGGACTACTAATTTATGTTTAAAAAGTTAATGCAGAATAAAGAGTGTTTTAGGCTAGGGATTTAGCTCAGTGGTATAAGTGCCTGAGTGGTGAGTGTGAAATCATGAGTTCGATCCCCGGTACAAAAACAAAAACAAAAAAAAGGATAAAGGGTGTTTCAATACTTCAAAGACCCATCTTCTTATACTCTTTGTTTAATACTTGTTTTGTTTGTCTCATTGACTTTCTCTCTCTCTTTCTTTCTTTCTTTCTTTCCTTTTTTCCTTTTTTTCTTTTTATCGATACCGGGGATCAAACTCACGAATGCCTGCTTGCAAGGCAGGTGCTTATGCCGCTGAGCTAAATCCCCAGCCCCTTCATTGACTTTCTTAAGAGCTGCATGCAGTGTAGAAGGAAGGTGAGCTCTTATAAGGAAGACATAATATAAAGTTTGGCTGTAATACTTAGGAATATTGTAATTTGTAGACTCCAGAAAATAAATGAGTGGTTTATTTTCATAAAATGAAAATAAGAATAATGAAGATACATCATCAGGTTGTAGGGAAGATAAAATGATGAATGTCCATGAAGCATTCAGAGAGTTTCTTAGTATATATTCATTGTTTATAAGGTATTAACTACAATTAATACTTTTTGTTTGACCTTCTTAGGTATTTTAATTTGTAGATACTTACTGTACTTGGAAGACTTTTCATTAATTTGTATAATAGAATTTAGTGGATTTTGTATTATGTTATAACTGATCATCTATAGTTTTCTGACTCTTCTAGAGTATATTCTGTATGGTGCTTTCTATATATGCTTATTGATTTGCTCATAGAAACAAGTGATAATTATTTTAGATTTATAAATTTAGGATTTTCTGGGTTTAGTAATTCTTGTTTAATGTTCACAATCAAAACTTGTTCTCTTTTTCCCTTACCTTCTGCTTCTATTCTTTTAGTCAAGTCCCAAAGGGATAAGACTTTTCAGTATCTGCCTGTGATTGTGGGAGGGTGAGGGAGTTGGAAGATTTTGAAAAAAATCAGAAAATATTTGTGTTTTATAAGATATGCATTTTAGAGGAAAGTGAATAGGATATAGAAACATTGGGGCTGGGGATTTAGCTCAGCGGCATAAGCGCCTGCCTTGCAAGCAGGCAGTCGTGAGTTCGATCCCTGGTGAGTTCGATCCCTGGTACCGGTAAAAACGAAAAAGACAAAAAAAAAAAAAAAAGGATATAGAAACATTTTGTGCTAGAGAAAGATTATCGTGGAATTGTGTTTATGGGAATCTCAAATGTTTTTTCCATAAATGAAAATTATATTCTATAAAATTAGAGCTCAGTTTCTTTCAACTTGCTTTTCCCACTTGTTTTTCCTAATGTCTTATGCCTCATGTTTTCATGTTACAATCTTCTAAATTTCAAAGTCTGTATTGTTTTAAATGTTATGTGATAAGCCTGGTTTAATTACATGTATTAACTTTCCATCACTGTGAAAATACCTACAAAAATTAATTTACAGGACAAAGGATTTATTTTGGATCATGGATTCACAGGTATTGGTCCATGGTTGGTTTGGTTTTGGGCCAGTTTCTTCTGTTGCTTTCGAAGCTCTGATGAGGCAGAAAACTATGGCAGGAAGCATATATTGGAGAATAGCTTATGACTTTAAGGTGACCAGGAACCAGAGAGAAAAAAAGAAATGCATGGGGGCGGGGTTTCCTGTACTGTTCAGGATCATATGCTTAGTGACTTCAGTTCCTCCGACTATGCCTCACCTTCTGACATTTCTAACCTTCCCAATGGTGCCATTAGCTAAAGAACAAGCTTTCAACAGACAACCTTTTGGGAGGCATTTATCATAAAATTTATAGCAGTTAGTATACCTTGGAAATTTTTTTTAAATGTTAAAAAATTTTTTTTAAATAATTGAGAATAATACTTGGAATAAAAATTAAGGAAGAAACCTTCAGATAATAAAATACAAATGGTCGTTTATAAAATTTTGTCTTTGCAAGCATAACACCAGAGGAAAAAGAAATGTAATGGAGATACACAGGTGTATTTTGGTGCATCAAAATGAAAAGTTACTTATGTCACACGAATGTCATACAATTTAAAAGTTAGTCTTGGGTACAATATATTATATGACAGAGGCTTACAAATAATAGCAATAAGTTCACAAAAGGCAGCAAAAAATTTTCAGAGAAACAGGACGCCTTTCGTAATCTCAGTAAGGATCAAGCAAACAATATAAAATTTGACTATTACATTGGTTTATAAAGAGGAAATATCCATTTGTAATAAAGTTCCTGAAAATGAATTGTTTTATTATGTACAAATTTCTTCTGGAACATAACTTAACAAAACATTACAAGGTCTTATTTTTTAGATAGACATTTTAGTTCAACTGCAAACCACATCTGTGGGAATTTATCTTAGAAAATATAGATACGACACTGAGATGCTTACTATGAGCCTATTTATGGTGTTGAATAACTGAGATCCTTCTAATCATTTACAGATAAGGAATTGAGTACATACATTGAGATACTTATATAACAGAATCTTAGGGATCCATAAGAGATGAAAATACAGACTTATTTTTCTTATACTGGACCAAAAAATAATTCATGAAAATTTAAAGTAAATTAATATAGATTTCTGTATTGGGAAGTTTATATTGTAAATGTGTTAGATAGTAAAGCAAAAGATACCATAAATTTTTAAATAGCAGTTCGGCTTTTTTTTTTTTTTTGGGTAACAGGGATGAACTCATGACCTCATGCTTACTAGACAGGACTTGTGCCACTGAGATAAACCTGCAGCCTACAGTTCAGCTTTTTGTATGACATTTTACCAAAACTAAATGAGACTCATCATTGAAGTTAAGCTTATAAATTAAGTTCAGATTATAGTTCAAATTGTTGATATGGACATTTTTTGCCACCTTTTTTGCTCTTTTGCATAATCCTGCCTAAGATGTAGTAACAGTCCCTGGAGCCTGTGAAAAACTTGTTAATGTCTGTAAAGATCATTTATTTATTTCAGTCTTGTGTTACTTGTCATTCCAAGAAGAAAAAATACTTCAGTTATTGTTTTTCTCTGTATTGGTTTTTATCTCCTAGGTAGTTACTTTTGGTGACAGTATCTGGTTCCCACAATGTATCATTCTTTGTCTGAAACAAGACATCCTCTGCAGCCAGAAGAACAAGAAGTAGGCATTGACCCCTTGTCCACTTATTCAAACAAGTCTGGAGGTAAGTTTTATGTGAATTGGCTCTGTCCACTTTATGGGTGTAATTCTATGAACTTGAATAGGCCCATTTTAGAAACACTTCCCTGAGAATATATATAGCAGTTGATATTTCTAAATACCTGGAAAAGCCAAGAACACCGGCCTCTTGTTTAATATATTGTCACTCATTAAAAAGTCACAAATAATGACTTTAGCTGAAGAATGTTGAAATGCAAAGCAGCTTTTGTGAAATCGGACCCAGAGCCTCAAGCATGTCTGGCAAGTGCTATACTATTGAACTGTACCGCTGGGCCTTTAGAATCCAAATCTTTTGTTTTGATTTTGTATGATTTTCTTCCTAGAAATCAATTCAGATTATTACAGAGTAAATGATTTACTTGAAAGTCCTATTTACTTTTTTGTTAATTTTTGTAATAATTGAAATTTGTGTCAAAACGAATTGATATTATTCCATGATTAATAACCTACCTAAATCTCCTTCTTTTCTTGTTTATTTTTATAAATAATTGAAACTTAATCACATTGATGGAAGGCAGATATCTGATGTGTATATTTCATAATTAAGGATAATAAAACACACTTTATTAGAGGAAATAATGAATTCATGAGATTTCTTGAAACTAACTTTCTTGTTAAATGGTTTATTAACTATTTGATAATATTCATTTTTAGTATTTCACTCATGAAGTACATATGTTAGAATTGTGATACTATTTTTTAAAACTTCATATATTAGTCCATGTAATTCATGTGTTTTATGCTTCAAGTAAAATTACTATTACCTCCGCATTGAGGCCATTAAATTATGTTTAGAAAAAAGAAACAATTGACTCGTAAAGTGGCTATTTCTTTAGCTCATATGGTCATTTTGAAATGTTTGCTTCTTTTGTATTTTTAATATTCTACATCATGTAAATGACTCAAATGTTTTTAATGGAATAGAATATGTCCTACAAATTTGTTTTGTGATTTTATTTTACTGATACATAAGATTTAAGAATGCTTTTGAAAATTTTCATGATAAAAATTACAGTTATGCCAGTGGTTAGCATGATACTGTAGCCATTACACGGCTACCAAGAGATACTTTTCTCTTAGATTTAGTACTTAAGGCAAACCCTCAAATCAGTTAAGTTTCTGTGAGTTTTAAGAAATGACTATATTTCTGATAAAACCATATAATTTTAACAACGTTTTCATAGTTTCTGGTTTATGTGCTCATTTGCGGACAGTTTTCAGTTGTTTTCTAAGGGAATATTTGTCTTTGGTCTATCTCAATAAATATTGAGGTTTTTTTTCTTTAAAAACTTGGTTAACATTTTAAAATAATTTTATCATTTATTATTTGCAGGAATGAGTAGTTACCTTTACTGAAAAGGGTTTTCATTTATATCTAAGCCTAACATTTCTGTGACATACTAAGTTATTAGTACTGAATTGATGTTTAAAAGTGCCATTAATTCATTTACCCCAAATGTTCATTAACAATGTAAATGTATGCTGATGCTCTATGAGACAAGGAAGTGACTAATGACTCTTCCAACTAACAACACTTAAAATGAATAGAAACTTTAGATAGCTAATCTTGAAGTAATCAAGACCCTCATTCAGCTTGGCATCTCTGTGTGCTCTAAAACAGCTGTCAACTGTTAAAAATATATATAAAACACACACAGGCACGCGTGCGCGCGCACACACACATGCTGCAGAAAGAAAGATATGTAAATATCTTGCTCTTCAAAGCTTTAAAGGTTGCTAAGAAAGTGGGTTTTGTGCATTGTATATGTAAATATTTTACATAAAATGTCTACTTTATCTTAGATTTTCTTTTTTCCCACAAAACTGTGTACTGCATTTTAAAAGGATTGTCATATTTACTTCAAGAATCATCTTTCTAGTGTGTTTGTTTAATTTATGTCTTCATCGGGTTTCTTTAAGTATTTTGAAGTCTTTTTCACATTTCTGCCACATCTTTAGGGAATTTGTGACTGATAGAATTTTTCGGCGCGGAAGGGAACCAGCTGATAGGATTTTGGCACAGCTGAAAAGATAAGAAGTATGAAATATAAATGACCTTGATTTTAAGAATGTGGGGAGAGACCCCCTGACCCTCTGGGGTCTGGCATTCTCACTGGGGTCTGGCATTCTCTCCAGCAGACACGTGATGTGGGGGCATATATGTAGCTTAGGTTTGGGGTGGTGCATAAGGAGCATTAGTGATGCACAGGTAGCCCGTTGGTATTCATTTCTCGCCACAGGTGAATTCCTAGGGGCAGGGAAGATAGAGCCCTTTGGTTACACCTCCAAGCTTTCCACTGGCTACAGTGTCCCATCTGGGGCAAAAACCTTTCAGTGACTATGGATGACTCATTTTCTAAGTTAAAAATGAGACTTAGATCAATGGTTGGATTCTGTAGAAGTCATATGTAATTTTAAAAATTTTGTCATAGATTCCATTAGTAAACCAGAGAGATTTTCTGAAAGGATTAGTAAAAGTTAACAGGATAGTAGAGTGGGAGGGAAAACATATCATTGGTTTATTTTCATATGCAGTTGAAGAAAATAGGGTAGAAAAAACTACTGAGAAATATGTGCAAAATCATCAATGATGTTTTCCCATGTGAATTAAAAATTTTAATCTCTTTAGATTATTTTTCAAATATGAGAACAGCATAGACAATTTGACATATTCTCTGTGCACTATTAAGTTTGATCACATTTATAAATTACCATCTGAAATTGCAAATGCTTTTACCAAAGAACAATAATTGACTGATACCTCTAATTCAGGTGAAAACAAAAACCCAGAAAATACTTTTTAGAATTTGTGATTTTTTTTGTTATTAGCATATAAATACTTGATAATCGATTAAATGAAAAATAATTTTATTTTTAATTGAAAATAATAGTAGCAAGGTATAAAGAAATTTAACTTGATTAATATTGTTGGAATGACTGTGCTTTTGCAGTTTTATGGGAGTATAGAATTTTGTTTATGGTGAAAGAACATTCTCATATATTAGGAGTCTTTGGGAATAGCATTGTTGCATATTATTGTTATGGAAGAGGCCAGAGACCTAGCTTGTCCTAGACAGGTCCTGTTCTTCCAAAGAAAGAAACCAAAGGTAGACACACTGAGGCAGAATACCAGGAGAAATTTATTAGAACAGAGTGGAATGCACAGTGAGAGTATATTCTCAGGTCACCAAGATGCGGTACTTTTTACATATGTTTGTAAGGTGTGGGATAAAGGATGTAATGACCAGTTGATTTTTTGGGGAAGAGAATTTGTTGGAATGCTTAAGCACATGAGTTCTTGGTTGGCACCTTAAATTGGTTAATTGTAGATATCTTGTCTCTGTCTCTGAGGATTCTATCTGTAAACTTGGTTATCCTCTCTTGCAAAGTGCTCCTTTTTGCATAATGACCTTAGTTCTTAAGTGTATAATGGCTTGTAAACATAAAACTTGATAGAAAGATTGCTCTAGAGGGCTTGGCCCCATCTTGCAGTTGCTCAACTCCCTCTTCTAGGTTGAGCTTGTGATCCTCCTGCCTTAGCCTCTGGAGTCACTGGGGTTACCCTGTGCACCACCATGAATGGCTTATCACAACTCTTAAATTTACAACACTTAAAAAGTTTGTTGTTATTCAATAAGTATTTGAGTGTCTTCTGCGTGCTAGGCATTGTTCTGAGTTCTGGAAATAAAATACTGAAGAACATATACATAGTTCTGAATGCCCTGTTGTAAGTGGCTAATTGCCATGATTGTGGATACCAGACAGAAGAAAGTAAACTGCCAATTAAGATTTAGGATGTTGCTTTCTAAGAGGAGTTAGTATTTTTGGATAATGCATTTATGGGAAATCCTGCTTAAAGTTGGAATAGTAATAGATCAAACAAGGTGATATAACTTTCTAAGCTTCAATATCAAGAATGAATTACTGTTTGGCCAAGAGTATGTGCTATGTACTTTCCCTTTGTTAAACAGAAGGAATTTCAGTATGATTAAAGACTAGAGTTTAAGAGAAATGGCTAGAATTAAGATTGAAGACTAGGATCATGAAACTACTTATGTTTTTAAGAAATAATACAGCCAAATTTGCATTTTATAAATATTGTCATTGTTGTGGTAAAGTGAATACAGTGGTGAGGCAAGACTGCAGGCTGAATAATTGGTTAAGAAGTATACAATATTCCAAGATGAGAAATAATAGACTACTCTGGAAAGAAACACCACATATAGAAATTAGTAGAAATATTAGAAAAGTATTTAGGAGGTAAAACTGATAGTACAGTGCTTGATTTTTGACTAGCTTGAGGGAGTTGGTAGGGGAAGAAGTTTGAAGTGGCATCTGGTTTTCTGAGATGACCAGTTATCGGGTCCTGACCTAGATCCCTGATTTCCCAAACGAGTGTACAGCGGAGGTTAAATAAAAAAAGACAAATTGTATGATTTTTTAGGTTCCAGGAGGGTCAAACCCTTTAATTAAGCTCGAGACTCCGAGGGTTAAGACAAAAGCTTCTCTGGATCAGTCCACTTATATTAGGACCAACAACAAAAGGTGGAGAAACTGAGGAAAGTGCAGGCAATGAGCAGGCCCTTGAGAGTCACTTCAAGGATGTCTCTTAGTAATGAATCAAGTCAATTTAGTAGCACTGTCTTATTATGAAGACATGGTAGAAGTGAAACTGTAGGAGTAATTTTTGCAGCTGCATTCTCTACCTTGTTAACTGGGATTAGAGCCAAGTGTCCTCAGCTGTGGTCTTATCGTGCCCTTTGTTGTATCTCTGGCCTCACAGGCCACTACAGGCCTCATCCAGAACCAGTGATTCATAGAGGTTCACTTACTGTGAATCAGTTCCCTTCGCCGGGTAAGGGGCCTAGACCTAGGACAGACTCACGATAAACATAGAAAGTCAATTAGTAAAATTTGAATCCTGCTCAGAGCCACTTTGTAGTGGTCTCCAACAACCAGTCAGGTCTATGATAATTTTTTTTA